CGTTGCCGGCGCCCGATTTGGACCCGGTGACCGCAGCCTGGGGCCGGAAGCTCTACCCCGGAACGGGCGCGCCCAGAGTCGCCGCTCCGGGACTCATGTTCGGCTTGCACCACCACCAGGATGCCACGGGCCTGCACCACCACCACCAGCCGCGCGGGCCCAGTCTCAAGGAAGAGCCGCTCTCCACGACTCGTTCCTGGATGCAGCCTACTGTACCGGATCAAACCGGGTAGGAAATTTTTCAAATTTTAAGCTAATTTACTAGTATTTTCCACTTTGTGGAGAGAAATTATGCTTAGAGAGATTATGTATAATAAATAACACGATGCGGTCTTTTAAAGGAACCCCTATACACATGTCAAAATGAGAACGCGGTTTGACGTTTTCACAACAAGTTCACGTGCTTGAATTATTTCAACTAGATAAACACTTTAAACAATAGATATGTAATACATTTGCTAAAATACAAATAAACTAAAATTTTGTAGTAAAAGTTACACTTTGTGTCTTTCGGTTCAAAAACCGGAACGATATTTTGCTGTTAAGTATTGTTTTGGAGAATGAAATTCATGTGAGAGAAATAAAAACATGCACACCTATTAGTGTAAACTTTTATTATTCATTGGTAGGAGTATGTAACAAAAATTGTTTTATTTTAACTGCTGTTTTAACACAAAGCTTTATGTTTACCTACTTCGTTGTGAAAAGTAATTTTAAATCTAAAACAGAGTTTGGAGTGTTTACCTAAACTTGGCCCATTTGGTTGATAAACTTTCGCCTATATATTTATTTTTTGTATACGCTCCCGAAAACAGCTGTTTTAGGGACTCATTTGAGTCTCTAAAATGGGGATTTTCCGGACTCAATAAAATAGTACGCAAAACAGTTATTTTAGGTACTCAGTCTCAAAAAACAGTTTTTGCGGACTAAAAAATAAAATTGGTTACTACCTATGGTAACGAAATTTTTTTAATTAATAAGTGGGGTGAATTCGTGTTTTGGGAGCTTTAACAAAAAAATCTTGCACCACGTACGCAAAAGGTTTTATTTAGGTGACTCCTTTCATTAAAGACTCGGTTCCTACGTCGCCTCGTCATTAATTACGATTCGTCCCCTAAAACCCTATTTTGCTTTAGTACGCAAAGTGATATATAAGTAGCTATTTTTTTAATTGTGTACACATTTTTATTTACACCTACTATAGTCTACAATAAAAATAAGCTTAAATTTTTATTTTTAATATTAAAGAGTAAATACAATGTTTTGTTTATTGAAAGGACTGTCAATACACTATATAAAGATAATCTTTCAATTAGAACAAGAAATAAGGAGAAACCTCCAATTAAAATGTTTTTTGTACTTTCATTTAAACCACTAAAATTTGATATCTTTTTAATAAGAAATAATGTAAAAACAGGCGTTTTATTAGTATAGTACATACAACTATCATACCTCAGAACTTCTATTATCACACAGAAACATTGCAACTGCATTTTCTTTAGGTGAAATAAATCACAAAAAATTGTATTCTGTGTAAAAAAAATCTGTACTTATTATAATTGGACACTTATTGACAAATTTAGAGCCAAAATACTTTGTTATTTCACATAAAAAAATTGAAAGTAATACAATTGCAAAAAAAAATTAGAGGTAAGGTAGGTATATCGTTTGCACAGTCCTATACATTGCTACAACTACGAGTAAAGTTTATCGCAGTTTATTGTTTCTAAAAAATAATAAATATATAAGTACAATTAAGTCATAGCAAAATTCTTACGTTTTTTAAACAGTAACATGTAATATGTTCTGATAAATGTCGGATTTGTATAAAAAATAGAAATAATTTTTTGAAGGTCAGAAAGATAAACCTAGTTTATTCATAAAATATAAAAATTTTCAATTGCGATTTTTAAGAAATTTAGATTGTTAACAAAATTTTAACAATCTTTTCAATTAATAGATACAGTCACGTGCAATATATTTATTTCTTCGTGAATGTCGTTTTTTTGGCAAACTTATTTTTGTATAATTTGAAATTAGTGGCACAACTGTCAGCAATAACAGAAATCACAAAGAGTATAATGCAAAATTTCTAACATTAAAGAACAATTATTTAGTGACATTGACGACCAAAATCATCATATATCTAAGTACATTATTTATTAAAAATTTAAATATAAGTACATATTATCTCAATTATTAACGTTTTAGGCTATTGACTATAACAAAAATGAAATAAAATATTGTTAAATTAAAACATTAAAAAGACCATAATTTATAATGAATTTAAAAATACACTGGATGGTTTATCTACAAAATCTAATTTTAAAATCAGTCAAAAAAATATAATAAGTCTATAGATAAAAATTAAAAAAAAGCGTTTTGATCACTTCATTTTTTTATTTTACACTAACTCATTTAATTAATGACAAAAAGCATTATATTAAACATTGTCATTAGCATCTTACTAAATCTTTGTCATATTCCGATTGTTTATTGAATGTTTCTCCTACTCACTCTTCTTTTACTATAATTCTACTTCTATAATAATTATTTAATACAATAAAACTTTGTTGTTATAAATTGCAATACCTATTTAGGCACTGGCATATTTAGGCATCAAACTTATGAAATTCATGTTAAAATAATACTTATATGACTGACATAATACATACGTTAGGTATAGTTTCTTCTATAAATTTTATATAAGTACCTATGTACCTCACGCATTTTATTATAGGTCCGTTTTCATGATGCATAAATAAAAAAGTTATAAACCTCGTTATAAACATTAAGTCCTCCTCAAAAATAGTATTTTTAATTTCATAATATTTATAAATATAATAGGCAAAATTTACATTTTGTTTGCTTATGACTAATCGAAAAAGTCTCATTTTATTTTACTACTTAATTTTGGGTCTTCTACTTTCTTTATCCACCGTTAAAAAATAACTTCTTTAATGCTCATTTGGTATTAATAAACTCAGATCAGCAGATACAATGTTAAACAACATTAGTAAAAAATATCTGAATCAAGTTTTGCTGAAAAGTAAATGGTGTTTTCCTGAATATAAATCCGGAGAAAATTTTGAAGTCGAATTGTGAACAAGGCGACAATTTTAACCAAACATTAACTGTTGCATTTATTAACATAACAATTATTGTTGAATCCCCCTATATATCGTATAAATAGGCAGTTTTATGTGTGTGAGGAGGGTGGCAGACATAAATCAGTAGAGATATTTCGTTGCAGGCGACAGTATTTCAATATAATCACCCGTCTATTGGCGGCCGTTACTGGCCCAGCTTCGTTATATACCGCACTCAATTGACCGCGTGAAATAAATGAGCGAAAAACTGACATAAACACCACCATTATCTGATTTGCGAATCCTATAAATACTGCCGTTTCTAACTTACACGTTTACCACCTATAATTGCCTCGTTTATTTGGTAACATTATCGACAAATATTTTTTAAATCGGTAATTTTAAAACTTATTTGAAGTCATTATTATTATTTGATTTATCAAATTTGCAACAGATGCTCTAAAAATGTTGCTTTCATATTTTTTTTAAATTGTGTTTTTATGTTGGTAAAAAATGTATAATATTTTCACCGATGAACCGAAATGATAGGCTTTATTAATTTAATTTATATAATACATGGAAACAATTTCAGCGTTTTCCAGAGTAGATAATTCATGGCGTTATTTTGACACTACAGCTTTGAAGTAAAGTACGTATAAAACAGCTTTTAAATTTAATTTCATTTAGGTTGTTAGCCGTAATAGCAGTCCGCATTTTTTTTTTTGTTAAAAAAATCTATGAATTGTTTCGCTTGTGAGTCTTTTGAAAAATCAATGGGGCAATCAGAAAGTTTTTCGGTAATCAGTTTTTGCGTTTGAAAATTAATAGGAACAAACGAACAAACCAGGCATTTACCACCTTCATTAACAACAAGGTATAAATTATCGCGTCCGTATAATTCACCGAGCTCGAGGGCATATTTCAGTTCTGCGTCCTGCGAACCAAAACCGGCGTCGTTCCCGCCGCAAATGGCCCTGATTGCCATTGATCCCAGTTCGTGTATGTGTGGTCGACTTTCCGCATAAAACATACCAGCATTTAGGAATTTTTAATAGAACCGACGTCCGACGCAATTGTCTGATTGACGGTAGTGGGTGGACGTCGAGGATATAGCGGATTGATTATATTTAATTCGAGTGATTCATTAATGTACATTTGTAACGCTTTTAAACATTCAATAATTACTTGATTTCATGAGATAAGTTCATACAATTACCTGAGTACATCATCGACTTGCCAGACAGTTGACAATTAATATTATTTGAAGGAGTGCCACGCTATAACTAATTTCGTAATGGCAACGCTGCGATGTTTTACTGAAAAACAGGGAATTCTTCGACGACCCACATCAGGACCCCGCGCATATTAAACCATTAGCACATTCCATGCTAATTTCCTACCGGTGACCATGCAATTTACTCATAAAAGTATTTTAATAACTGAAAAACTTCGTTGTTTCACTGAAATTAAATTATTTTTTCTACGCTTGCAATTTGGTCAACGCCGTAACCACAACTGCGTAAAAATAATGGTTTAAATGTATAATAATAATACCTAATACAAACAGGATGCTAATTAAGGACATTACCATCATAATTAAGAGAGGTAATTTGATAAAATGACGCGATGTTGAGGTGCTGCGAGACATATATATTGGTATTACGACTAATAGAGGAAAGCTCAAATTTAATTAAATTGACTTAAATGCAATCTGTTGTGTACAATATACCTAAGAGTATCTTGTCACTCTACATAACTTTTTTCTAGTATACAGTATATTCCCGGATTGGGTTTACAAGAGGAATTTTTTTTTATCTTTTATTTTACGCCAAAACTGCAAAGGAAAAACATTTTTTGCTTCACCTGAAATGAGCAAATCTGTTATTAAAACTTTATTAATCTGATTCACTGAAAAAAAAAACTTAATTTTTCTCTGCTTTTGTCCTATCACATTGGCGGTTTTCTTTATTTGACAACTATATGTCACTTTGAGAATTAATTTATTAATTAAATAATTATAGTTCTGCTAAAAATGAGTTTATTTTTTATCTTAAAACTGTTTCTTTGAGTTGCTATTTATTAAAATTATGTTTTTCTCAAACATTTCTGTTATTTAACTTGCAAAAACTTATTTTTCAAAGTGACATCATTGTCAAAATAATTAAACCGCCAATGTGATGGGATTTAAAAAACAGAGAAAAATTCTGAGTCTAAAATCAAGAGAAAAATAAACTTTTCTTTCTACTGAGTTAGAATAATGAAGTTTCAATTAAAGATTTGCTCGTTACAGGTAAAGCAAAAAATGTTTTTCCTTTGCAGTTTCAGCGTGAAATCAAAGACAAATTTTTCTTTCCTCTTGTAAACTCTAATCTGGAGACATACTGTATATGGAATAGTTGGTTGTAGATTTGACAATACATCACAGACTGCCGTTTAATACAAAAACCAAACTTTTGTAACTTATTTTACTTAAAAAAACCTAACTGCGGTTATGCAGATAGAAAAGTCACAAGATATAGACGTACTTAGCAGTTAACAAAACATAATTTTTACCCTTATTGCAATAAAAACTGCACTATTAAATTTTTAATACACTACTTACTTAGATAATTTAGATATTTTTATATTAACTTTAATAAAATTAAGTGACAACCAAAAAAATACTTTTTCTATAGAGATAACAAAAAACTATATTTATTATACAGTATAGTTTAATTAAACTAAAGTATCTCCAAATATCCCTCCAATATTTTTATTACCATTGACATTTGTCTTGCTTTTCCGACTACTTCAATTCACTTATTTAATAGGTTGACTTAGAATAGAAATAATTCAAGAATTAACTAGACTACGAAGGTATTATTGCTGATGTGGACAAAATAATAAAGTCTCGTTAATTAACTTGCTGCATAAAATCTATGCAGCTTTCTAAACAGTTATTGTGTCACTGAAATTATAAACGTTTCCAGTACTTAAGTTATTAGTTACTTTTTGTAGAAGTAAAAATAGTTTTAGTCTCTTGTGGACACACCGATTAATAAATAATAAAACTAATTGTACTTTAGAATGTCTTGACGTTAAGTTGTACCGCAGCTATAACGTATGTGCTCACTGAGGAAAATTTAATTAACCATAATAATCTGAGGTCAATAATGTTTCAATTACTTCGCATTTCTGGACATTGTGGAAATATACGTTTATTTGTGTTTGTTTTTGCTTCTGCGGTTGTGTGAAACTCGACGTCTAGACAAGCAAAGGGCCAGTTTTTACGCCTAAACTTTGACCATTAAAATTTACTTTAGTGTTGGAATTATTTGAACAGTTATAGTTAAATCGAGGTTTCAACAACGGCGGCGGCGTGCGGTGTTTGAGCAAAAGCAGCTCATCGCGCAATCTGTCTGAACTGTTGGAGAGATTGATGGTTTGCAAAGCACCAAGCTTGACGTTGATGACAAGATCCAATTAATAATATCGCAAATGAGTGTTAATCTACTGTGTCGAATAAGCGTGTAAAGGCAAAAGCGGCGGATCCAACAAAGAGAAAACAAACTGCACAGTGGCGTTTCATTCCTCCTACACCTATTCTGTCACGTTCGGGTTCGTCGATAATGTAATCTATAGCTCGTATTGCCTGCACCTGTGTCGCCCCCTCCCCACTTGTATTACTTGCCACTCCATTTATTTATTCGACAAAATGCAGTGCCGATACCCAATACATTTCAAATATATATAACGTTCAAGAGGAGCTTTTACAGCTTAATAAAACAACACTTGTATATGTGCAGGCGAATAGACGCCGCCGACGCCGCTTCACGACGCAAGGTGAACGCTTTAATCCCAAATTTTATTTGCATCCTATCGGGAGCCACCATTGTAATATTCAATTTGGCCAAAAAGTTATGATCGTGTCGAAACTACTCGCTCGTACCACATTTTACATAATGTGCCACTCCGATATGGCCAATAATACAAAACAACAATAACTTGGAAAATTGCCGCCACAAAGGGGCCAGAGTGCTTTATTTCAAAACTTGGCCAGTTATAGCACCGAACTTTCTTTTTCTATCTACAACCACGACTATTTTATCGTCATACTCGACACTACTAGAAGCATGAAGTGGAAGAAATATCTTAATTTCCTAATAGCAAGCGCCATTTAATATCTTTTGTTTTTAAACATCCATGAGATAATCGTAGGTATTGACAAGAAATTCATAATCGAGACAACATTTATAGAACCTTCAAATTTTTTTCCATATTATTAGTGATAAAAACTGGTAGTTATTTGAAACTTTCTAAAAAAAGTTTTTTTTTTAATGATTACAAATCTTTTAATAACTTTGGAGTTAAAGTTGGAAATTACCAAGTCAAAAAATTTTGGTGAAAAAATTGGTAGCAGCTTGTCTCCATTGTCACAAATTTTGCTTGCTCTTTATTTTTGTCCCTAGAAATTTTGTTAAAAAATTATGGTTATGTGTTCAAATTGAGATGTGGTCAAAATTTTGACTTTTATGTCTTGTGTGCCCGTTTGCTCTTTGAAAACGCTATAATTGAATACCTGAGGACAGACATCGTTACCTAAGGTCTAAAGACAGAATTCAGTGCTAATAATTTTGATAGAAGCACACCGCAAGTAAGTACAGTGTTGTGGACAAAAATGAGGATCTTGGCACAAAAACTTTGAAGAAAAAGGATGTATATACAGAAAAAATTATTTAGCAAAAGATACAAGCAAGGATTATGAAGATCGCCAATAATTTTTGTGAAATTTATTGAAATGAGCTCAAAGTTGATGCATTTTATAAATTCTTCTTCAGCTTTAGTTTCAAAATTGTTACTTTTACAACTCGTTCCTCAAAAACGATGCACAAGACACTGTTCTTTTCGAGGTTCTTCCTCATTCATGTTTATATTGTATTCTTGTTAATTTCTTGCTGAAAATTAAGGATGTTTAGCAAACCTGCAGTACAAATGCGTCGACATTTTAACGGGCCCTTTTTCAAACTTCCTGTTTGCAAACTATTCCTTTCCAAATTTCTAAAAACTGTTACCAGTACCGAATTTGTTTCTTTTTTGGTGTTTCATCTCTAAATTTCCTTAGACAATTTTTTGTGTTGACGTTTAATGACATTGTTTTCAAATTAATTCAAAAAACCGGAACTGCAACTTCTTTTAATAAAATTACCATGAATGAATTTACTAGTGGTGCCAACGTTAAGACTGTTTGGCATTTCCATTTAAAAAAAGAACAGACTTTACTATAAGAGAAACCAAAGTATTGTTGCAATAATAAAAATAGTAATAGGTGACCAATTCAATCAGTATAGTGGTTTACTTATCGAGTCAATTAGGACCACGTAGGTGATTACATTAAATTTAAATTGCATTTCTGTTCTGTCTGCTAAGTTTAAGATATTAGTAAGTCGAGCTGTTTTGCTAAACTTTAAACGTCGTTGAGTCTTAATAAACTTGAAGCAAATCTTGTTTCGTGCAATTTGCAGAGATAAAATTATAATTCAATCTATGTATCAGGAGAAGCAAATCGACCACCTTACTTTATTTTATTAGTGCAGTTTGCAGGAAATTTTCAATTAGCAGTGAAATTCGGCAGTACGTTTAACTGTCTGTAAGATAAATTTATGAAACCGTGGTTGGGTGTAATGTTGGTCGTTCAAGGGATTATAGCAATTCCCTTTGGCCGGAGGCTAGTAACTGAAATACCTGACACGTCCTGAACATGTCGCGCTATCTTGTTAGGGTGAGCCAGGAGTGTAGTGCCTAAGCAATTATTGCCACCATATCCGGACAATAGAGTCCACATTGACCACTTTGATCGAACCCTTTTGCACAGATGGTGTTGTGACACTTCAAATAATAACGTTTAACCACGTTATCTTCTAATGGTAAATTAGATTAGGGTATGACATTGTATTTAGTATGTGCTAATAGAGGCTTTAAATGTCTGTTTCTAGTTCTAATTGATATTTTTACTTTTTTGTAGGATTGGCGTGGGGAGAGCACATTTCGAGAAACAACCTCCAAGCAACTTACGAAAGTCCAATTTCTTCCATTTCGTCATCGCTTTGTATGACCGGGCGGGACAACCCGTGGAAATCGAAAGGACGGCTTTCATCGGATTTATCGAGAAGGATCAGGTCAGTATAATGTCGACCTTTTAACAATATAATATTACAACGATCGATATCTCGCACAAAATTGGGTCTTGCAACAAAGACACTGCGTTTATTACCAAAATTATCATGCAAAAAAACTAAACAATAATAAAAATACTCCATCGTTGTTTTACATTTTGTCCGAGCAAAGCTTTGACTATTATTCAAAGGTAATTGTATGTAAAACAATTAATACTGATGTCACACAGTCATTGTTTGCTTTTGCTCAGTAAACGAATCTTGTGTCGGCCTCTGGTCTCCTCTTAATGAATTACCTAGACTGCAAGCAAAATAATTACAAGTCAGGGTTCGTAATGAAGCATTTCATGCTAATCACGCAAATTACTTTTGCAGTGCAATGCAAACATGCACAGCCGACGTATCAACCATGATTAAAAAGTTCAATGTTTGTTATCCTTGTTCTGTCAAGACACATGCCTCCTGATTGATGCGTCGAATGGAAAGACACAAAATCCATACTAGTTTAAACTGGCGGAATTGACTTTTCCGTTAAACCTTTACTTAATTTCGACTTTTCCAAACTAAAACTTGAACTAATTAAATAAGAATTTTAACTTTTATTAGCACCAAGAAATTTTGGATAAGTTGTACTCCTATTATTTTTAAACGAATTTTAATTAAAATAATATAATATAGAATATGTCAGAAGTAGGTCTATGTCGCTTAATTCACTTTGTGCATTCATGTTTTACAATTTAAAACGCTAAAAGAACAAGAATAAACATGCAAATAACAAATATAAAAAACTGATACACTTTTTCTTGACATAAACATATACAAATACATACTGGTATTTTATACAGAGTGATCTGACCTGTTGATTAAAATTGTAAATTTAAATTCAATGTGTCACTTTGACCAAATACCTACTGAAGTTTCTGTACACCTTCTAACTGGTTTTTTGAAACTTCTCGCATTATACCTGAGTCTGATGATTTGTTGTGGTGTAAAAAAAATTATTATTAGATTTATGGGGTGGATGGTTGAAACTTATCTTCTTGCCAAATAAATTAAATAATAAACCTCTAAGAGGTCATCTTCAGAAATCTCGGACACTATACAAGCAAAATAAGTCCAAAATTACTTTTTTACTTAATTTACCTAACAAGAAAGAAATACGTCTTCTTCTTTCGTTGATCTCCAAAATAGAGAAATAATTATTGTCGTCAAAAACATTTTGCTTGTATAGTGCCTGAGGTTTCTGAAGTTGACCCCTTAGAAGTCGACACTAAAGTCAATAAAATTTATTCATTTAACAAGAAGATGAGTTTCAATCATCCACCTTATCACTCTTCGCATTATACACACACATTTTGTATTTTTGATTTTAAATACATAAATAGTTTCAGTTTACAAATTACACATTTTAAGAATTATTTCTTTTTTTGCATCTATGTGCAGGTTTAGGGTATAGGAACACTAGAGCTAGTAACTGATCTGGAATAATAATTTGACAAGAATGAAAGTTTGAAGGTTGTTGTAAAACTTTGGCCACAATCGGCTCTCAGCTGAATGTAGACACTTTATTAGTAATGCAGAAGTTATCCGAGTAAATAAATCTTTGGTGGTATAGGGTGACATCCGCTTTACCACAGTGAGTAACAGAGTTTCTCTTGATAGCATAAAATTTGAAAATATGAAATTAGTACACCACCGTCGTGGAGATAATTGGTTTAGCTGTGTTAATTTGTACACAACACGAGCGGTTGTCGACGTTTTGTTGAGCCGTCAAAATGGACCCAAGAAGCGTTTTGCTGATTCTATGTTGCCATGGCAGCCGTTTAGTAAAGTGTACAACGGAGGGAAAGTGAGATGAATAAATACAGCGTGTTTTGGCTGGGTAGGAAGTTGTAGACGGGCGGCAAGAGACGGGGGTGTAATTGTGTTCGTGGCGATGCAGAAGATTAGGGCGCGAGTCGGGCAGAACATTTATCATGAAACCCAAACCAGAGCTGAGCGCCGGTCACAACAGAAACCATTATCGCAACGCGCCGGCAACGGCTTCCGAACTCCAATTCTCCACTCTAGATTTATTAAGATATATATAAACGATCGACTAAATTGCTAATATACCTCTTTGTTCCAGGAGGCCGACGGCCAGAAAACGAACAATGGAATCCAGTATAGGCTGCAGTTGCTCTACGCTAACGGTAAGTCAACTTCCTTTATTACCAACGTTACAAAGCTGCAACTGATCATTTGAGTAACTGATTTTTTTTGTAAAAGCTCATAACCCAGTGTTAAAATTCAGTATTATAAAAAAATAAGAAACCCAGAATGAATATTGTGGTGAGAAGTGAAAGATTTGATGTCGGTAGCTATTGATTTTATACAAATAAGAAGTAGGTAGAGAATTTTTAGATGATTTTGGTTCTAATCAAAACTTATTTGAAAAAAAATGTTTTTGTTACCACTCCAATTCTATATGGTTTATTGCAAAAAATTGTGTCACATTTTTCACCACAAATAACAAGGTTTGTGCTTCGTTCTCTTTGCTGTTGATGAAAGCTTTGAAGCCAAGTTAAGATGTTGGATTTTATGAAAACAAGTCGTAATTGTAAAAAACCCAAATTGCTATGATATTACTGCAATAATGTGAGTTTTTAAGTCTGAAGATAATTATGTAATTTTGCAAGGAGTAATAAAACCGCGTTATGGATAGAATAACGGCAGTTTGAAGCATTTCTATTAGAAAGTTTGGTGTTTGGCATTAGGTGGTTATGACTTTACATTATTATTGCCAACATTCGCACCGTCTTGCGTCGGTCCATCTCGTGAATCATTAAAATGATAATGCCAAAGTTTACGGCACGTCAAACAATTTCGATACAGTTCTAAGCAGTCCGTGATAAGAAGGATGTCCTAGTCGGCGATAGCGAGTTTGAACAAAGACTAGGGCGGCGGTAAAGCCTTAGGGTTCGCCATCTTTTCAGTCCTGGGAGAGCATTTGTGGAGTTATTTTATTACAAATAAGGAGAGGAAGAGTGCTCCTCGGGGATGATGCTGAGTGAGGTGTGCTGTGGCAAATGAGATATAGCGCCGGTTCACTACATGTTACGTCTTCCTTCTTGTATATTTCACGGAAATCTCTTAAGCTACGTGCAATGCATTTACTACCTCTGCCCTCGATCCATCATAAATTATTACTGCTGTATTAACAAATTGTCAAATATTTACGTTCCTTTAACTTGAGAATCCCCTTTACCTACACAATTTCGTCACCGTTAAAACCTTTCTTTCGTTCTACACAAAATCGAGTCTAATAGACAAAGAGTGGATCAATACAAAGACACATGCACAAACTCTAATAAAATATAAATCGTTTCAAACAAACGTACAAAATCTTAAAGACTTGTAGTGCAAAAAAATAATGCCGCCTAGAGACTGTAATGTAATTTTTATATGCTCTCAACCTATTCCAAGTATGTTATTTATTTGCAAGAGTATTCTTTGTCATTGAGAAAAAAATGGGAAGCACGTGTCGCGATGTAGGTAATTAGGATTCTAATTAGAAATTGTAATTTGAAGCGAAAATACTTTGGTACATTCCATTTGGAAAGGCAAATTGCCTGTTTTGGTCGATCTGATTGACTAGTTCGATTAATTACCCATCTAATTAAAAGCAGCGTCTACTAAGCCGATTGTAATTCTTTCGGCGTTCTCGTCGGCAACCAGTTCCTTATATGTAATGCGCCTTACTGCGCTAAAGTGTAAATAGTGTTTTTCTCCCCGAATGTAAAAGGCAGTTGAACAAGCCAACGAATCCGCAATAGATGTAATTGACAATTGATAAACCATCCACTAAACTAATTAATTAATTAATTGCATTTACAAGCACTCTGAGAGAATGTGATCAGTTTCTCATTATTGCACGAAAAGGCCACGTTCTCTTTCCATCAAATAGAATCCTTTGATTTATCTGCGCTATTAGCGAACGTTATAAATCTTTCAGCGAGTGTTTGCTTTGGTCTTTTGCGGATTGACGGATTTCCCGCCCGGATAGACCACCGCTACCAAGGGTTGCCTCCGTCGAGATAAGCAAACGCTGGTCGTTGAGGAATTTGCGGTACAAGACTTGCACTAGCCTGTGGCTTCGTCTTATACTTCGGACTTTAGGGCCTTTGAGACCGACAACTTGCCGGAATTTGTTACAAACCTTAGTCATAATTAGTTTACAACCCTTCCAGATCGACCGCCCTGTAATAACTAATTATCTTAACAAATTTGCTTGGGCCAATTAGTCTTCAAACTAGCAATTTTATGCTTCGCCTGTTCCCGGACAAACACATGTTCTAATGGCGATACACAAATTAAATAGATCTCTGGGCGATGACGCCACTTAGTGGTATTCACTCACAAATTATTGCTCTAAAACCGTATTTCTCAAAAAATCCATTTTTTATTTCGATCAATAAACTTCTATTTCGCCGAAGCTTAAGCATTTACTCTGTGCAAGTAAAGTGTTAATTACTAGCGATTTATCAGTGGCATCTTCTTGTTTCAGGTGTGCGGCAAGAGCAGGATATCTACGTGAGACTCATCGACTCCGTCACCAAACAAGTGAGTAAAAACTTTGCTTCCTCGGTGTTAAAACTTACTTTAACGTCTGCAACAACTGCACTCGCTTTCCGTCTGGTTGCAAAAAACAAGCGTTCGTCCTTCTTACCGTAAACACTTGCAGTGTTAAACGACAAAGCAGAGCGTAATGAAATTAAGGCTGAAAAGGTCGGACAAACGAGGTCTAAATGAAATTAGCAGCCAATGTGTTGTTCTACCACTTTGAACTGGCTAGAGGGTAAGATGAACCGGTGTATCAGCAAAACATTCCCAGTTTCGAATTCGCACGGCGTAATAATTAAATGAATTATGCAGGAAGAAACAAACTGGAGGAGGATCTTTCGTCACACTCCGATATGTCTCTCTCGTTGTAGATTCGACGAGCGCGAAATTAAATTTTACCTCAAACCATCTTGAAGTTAGATGATTGACTAAAATTAAATTTAAGAACTTAAACGCGTTAAGCTTTCCCCTTTTCACTCCATCAACTTGACTTGTGTAAAAATTGTTCTACGAGATTTTATTAGAAGATTTTTTTAAAACTTCAGTTTGACGTTAGATTGCTTTAGACGGAAATTTCTACAACAGTGAGGAGCTTCAGAAATTAGTTAATATGCCACAAGAAAGACGCCAATTTTAAGCCAATCACGTGGTACACGATGGGGCAACAATTAAAAGCGTTTTGTTAATTTATACAGAAAAGCGATTTCTTTGGTGCTTAAAGATTAATATTCAATGAAATAATTATTTTTACTTGCTGTACCGGTTTTATTAAAATATTTTTTTTATTTATTATTAAAGATAAACTTTGCAGTAGACCAAAGTATGCAGAGTAGAAAAAATTTTAATGTTTATTACCAAGAAGAAAGAAACTTCTTCAGAACAAGGGGAAAAAATGACTATGGCACGGTAACTCAGCATCTGAACGACACGAGAGGTAAAACCATAACTGCTTTTGCTAACCAGTTATGGTTAGTTTCAAATACTGAGTTACCGTGCCATAGCCCTTTTCTCCCTTTGTGTTGAAGATGTTTCCTACAAGAGCGGGCAAAATGTCGATCTTTCCTTATAAATTAATAGGTACATTTATTTTTTCTAAAATATTGTATTTATAAACGGTTCACTTTACAATCACAAAATATTGATAATCTATTTACTGGGAATTTTTTTTGAAACTTTCTACTAGAATATGAAAAAAAGTATGTACACCTAATTAAAAAACAAAATAAAAAACAGCAAGTAGTTTCTTTCTGTTTTGCTCGTTTGTGTTTGATTAGTGGCCTCCCTTTCACGAAAGCTCCTCTTTATGAATATGCATTGTGTAAGTTTTAAATCGTGTGGGTTGGGGGCGTTTCGACGCTAATCTCTTGTCGGTGATGATATCGGACAGGCGCGATCAGGTCCACGTGTCGGCCACGCGACTTCGAAGCCCCCATTGCGGATAACACAGGAAATACTGAACTCTCATTACTTCCTTATCGAAAGTCGTTTAGCCGATCTATAAACACATGAGCCGTCCACTTAACTTGCAAATCTTGAATTATCGTTCACATATGCAAAAACTTTTAATCTAACTAAGTAATTTTAAGGGGGTGAAAATGCAGATTGAATCTCTATCACTAACCACTCAGGTAAATGGTTCGTCTTATCCTCAACATGCCAAGTTTAACAACGACTCATTAGTTGATTGCTTGCACCCTCCTTGTAATTAAATTGAGGCAGAATAGAAAAAGTTCGGTGAGATTAAGTTGGGTGTGATTTAAAATGTTTTGAGTAGAATATGGGCCGTTCTAACCGTATTGTAGTTTGCGTATAAATATTAACGATAGTGTGGAATAGAGAGGAATTACCTACGTAAATTCTAGATTAATCCAGGCACCTGCTTCTACCTTGTCCTAAATTAGTCCTGCCGTAATAAATCCTTGATAATTGGCTACATTGCCACTACATAAACCATAAGCTTCAGATTTCTATTAGAATTTATAAATCTTATTTATTAGATTTGGCCAGGTTTTGTTCTCCGCGGCAACTTTAGCTTCGCTGCTGAAATATTTGCTATCAAATAAAGACAAAATACAAGATTCTGTTGATGTATAGCTATTTCAAATTTTTCAGTAGTCAAAAACCGAGTGAATGTTATTAGTAAGTCGGTCGTTAACGTCGGTTTTAAATTAATTGCCGTCAAAGTTTCAGAAATATGCACTTGTGGCATCGTTAAAATTACATTAAAACGCCAGGTTTGATATCGAAGTTATCCAGCGAGAGCAAACCGCGTGGTAATGGAGCCCTAGAGATGAAGCTCTTCCGATTGACGCGATCCATTACCGTAATTTTTAACATGGTTTATCAATTTCTACATTTCAATTCAATTTCCTGTCAACGTGTTTCGGTGAAGATTTCATAATCGTGAACAACCCGTCTATCTATCACAGTGTTAATAATTTAATATAAAATGGAAAAATATCCGGCAACGAAACTTCACCATATAAATTTTATGAGGCACTCTATTTGGACCGACACACACATACAAAAAATACTAATGCGTTATTAAAATGCATTTGTATGAACATCGATATATACTTTTGAATTTCGGTGTTAATCCAAATGCGTACAGGACAGCTCGCGATCTCCTATTAAAATTTTATCGCACATTACACGATTACCGACTGAACCGGCACTATGTTAATCTCGTTTATTATAAATTCAGGCGCATGTAAATTTTATTGTACGGATATCATGTACTACAACAGCGAATAAAATATTTTTATGGAGCGACGTTATTGTAATGGCGCGCTTATTTAATAACGACAATTTATTTTATCAAATTAACTGACTGATTACCACACCTACGCTCTTAATTACCTGCGCGCATTTATCAAAACTAAATTGTTTTTTACATACCGAAACACGCCAAAAATGCATTACGCTCAAAATTATTCAATTTCGAAACAGATCAATGCAATTAAATGTCAACGTCATTATTCAATTCAAAATAACATTAATTAGCCTTAAAGAACCATGAAACCTAATTTTACTAATTGACAACACTTAAAATATTTTATGGGGATTGAGAACAGCGTTTGAACTAAAAGACATTTTATGTAGAGATTCTTCCTCCTTTGTGTATTCTTCAATTACTTATTTTCCTTTGTTTGAGATCATTTGGGAGTTGTTTACTTTCCATGCCATGTGTGTCACTTAATCAGTTGCTAAAACGCATTTACAATCTCCGAAAGGCCATAAATAATACACTAAAAATAATGTAGATTTACTCAAAATTTACGAAAAAACGGACGTGGTGAAATTCAAGACGCATTTTTTACATTTCTTACTATAAATATGGACATTGTTTTGTGATGTATCAGTTTTAATTGCTTAGCTGGCGGTAGAAATAATTTTCAGTGTATCTATTATTGAATTAAATTTAAACAGACCTTATCAATGAATTACGAGTGTGGTTTATAATTGTAAGAGTTAAAGTCGCGTGTGGCACCCTTTTATATTGTATTCAGTAATTCCCCAGGGAGCATTGATATACTTTTATGAATATGCAAGTAAAACAATTAATTATAATATAAGAGATAACGTACATGTCCACATTTGCTCCTCCGATAAGAAAGGTAATTCCCTCGGGAATATTTAAACAAGTCTTTAGGGTCTTTGCGTAAAACTCTCCAGAGATATGCGACTCTTCAAGATAGTCCCGGGAGTATGAGACATATCATACTCATAGGAATTAAAATAATATTTATAAAGTTTCCACTGGTACTTTTCTTTTATGGGTCCGCATACGACGAGGACACTCTGAGAAACTTCTATATACACGAACCATTAAATAAAATTTATTTGATAAGTGATGCATGTACCACTAACAACAGGATTTAGAAAGAAAATCGTGTAAAAAGTATATATTTCTTATAATCAGTTCTCGTGTAAGTAATGTAACAAAGCCTATTTAATGTCATTTTTTCAAGATCAAATAGTCATTTAATGTTTAAGAAAAGAGTCAAAAACAGGTGTGTTATTTATGACGTGCTAACAATTAAAAAAAAATAATTTTTTGTGGCTAAGAAACCTGTGAGTTTGTTTTGGAAGAATTAGTGTTTCTTTATCCGGACACATGTTGCTCGATGTCCAGTAATCTTAGTTGAGCCTTGCACAAAGCAAAACCGAGGGTTGCGCGTTACATATTCAATTAAACAAAAATCTATCAACTGCTCTAACCTAAAGCACCTTAATCCTGGGCTGGGGAGGCAAAGCCTCGCGCAGATAGATGTGTGTTGCTATCACCCCGTCCTGCTGCAAGGGGCACGAAATAGCCGGATTACTCGGGTCTGGACGAGGGTAAGTCTGGTAATTATACTAGCTTCGAGGGTTATTCTATGCTCATTGATGACTAGCAATAGTACGTCACCGGTGTGGAGGGACTCGACTGCATAATCCGATCTTATCTCCTGTTGCCATTATAAAACAACTACCAAACTCACGCACAGGACCCTCATATGACTCTTATTATCCTATTTAAACCGGACAAACATTGCATGCAAAAAAATTATTTCACAAAACACTTTCATTTGCACAAATTTGAATTTAGTTACATGCGAGTTTTTTTTCACACCATGAAGTGTCATCGTATGGCACGCACCAATTTTAGGTGAAATTTGAAGGGTTAATTAGATTTTTTCAACCAAATGGAAAGCGAGATTTCCGACGGTCATAAAAGGTTTATGGCGACTTACCGATTGATAAACTGTGATTAGGTTTTATTGGATTAGGAGAGTAGTTGAATTTAATCTGTGTTTGTTTACAGGCCATAGTATACGAGGGACAAGACAAAAATCCCGAAATGTGTCGAGTGCTTTTGACACACGAAATAATGTGCAGGTGAGTGTTGTAGGAAAAGTCATATTTATCATCAAGCAATATTACGACCAAAAGTTATCATTTAAATAAATGATTCGTCATTCAAAAATTGGCAAAAATTGACAAAAAAAAATGAAAGCTTTATCAGTTTTACAGTGTTTTATTCATTTTCATACACATCTTGTCAAAAATATTTGTATTCAAGATAAAAAAAATAAACAGAAATTTACTTTCAATTTTTTTTAGTTTTAGCTCTTTTGAAATATACATACATAAAATGTATAAAGAATAAACAAACATAACATTAACTTTTTTTTAAATAAATTAGTAAGTTTGTAGGTATACATAATACATTTTTAGTTTTTATAACTACTGCACTTTTCTGTTTACTTCTCCTTTTGCAATAATAATAATGAATTACTTGATCTCAAACATATTGTACAAAAACTAACTAAATACGTTTATTTACATACACTAGAACTTAAAAGAATCGTTGTGTTACTGTCCAGCTTTATAATTACATATTAGTATTTCAAAGTTATCAATAATAATCAGAGCATGGATTAAAATAGGGAACAAAACTTAACAACAAACTACTAACTCACGTATTCAAGTATCGGTTAGAGGTTTTTGCTCCCTACTATAGTCAATTGCTACGTTTGAAACGGTTTAATGTTTCATCTGATTTTGTTGCAAAAAAATTGTTAAACACATTTTATTCACAATCATAAAGTAATAATCAAATTACCTTACATATGAAAAGTTTAAAAGTATAACATTACAACAATTGATATAAAATATGATAGTTCAGGTTGGAAAGTGATCACTTCTTTATTTATTTTCGGGTTGGGAAGTAGCCATTTCCCAGCTTATGGTTTTTTAAATTTTATGATGCATCTTCAGCAACTTCCCTGAGTTCAGAAGGAGTACATTCTATTTTACTATCACGATTAATATCGTGAAACAAGAAACAAACATGTGATGTTACTTTTAAGCATTTAACAAATATTATGTTATTTATTGTCTACTTAATAAAAACGTAAAATGTCAAAATTTGATAATTTTATTATTGGCTTTCTGTTTTTTTTTAAAGAATAATTGTAAATAAAATAATATACAAACTTTGGTGTTTGTTGCTTAAGGTGCTTCGCGCCTTGGTCATCAAATTTCGTCTTGTTAATGAAGCACCTCCCACCTCAATACATAATCTACTATTTTGTCTTTTATTTTTTGTATTATTTTATATTACAATTAAATCAAAAATTTGAACTGTGCAAATTGTTGAAAAAGGAAACTGTGATTCTAATCAAATTTTTCTTCTGTTTACGTTATTGTGTTAAATTGTCAGAGTAGTATACTCCTCAGGTAGATTATGCCAGATCACATACAGAATGTTTAAATAAAATAAAGTTGAAGATGTTGCAGCTGCATGTAGTGGGTGTATGAATATTGGATGCATTTGTATTTTTCTTTGTCAATATCTGAGGTGTCTCGAATATTGGAAGCTTTTGTATTGCGTGTTAGTATGTAAAATTCTGTTCTTCTGTAAAGAAGTTGACGTGGTTGGTTCGATGATGTAGTCACGAGAATCCCTAAATATCTTTCCCCTATAGTCTTGTATAATGCTGGCGGGTAGCGGGCGGGTGAGACGGGCCGATCCCTCGGGAGTCTGTCTTTTCCCTATTCCCTTGTCTTGCCATAACAAACATCGCTCTCATTCGCCAATCTCGGCACACACCATTGTGCATTTTCATCTTCCTTACATATTTGACGTTGAAGTCACATCAAAATATGTTAGCACTTCATCTGATGTAAACAATCTTCTTCAACAGTTTTACTGCAGATGACAAACGACTTTACCGAAATTTATATATTTAGAGAAATGTATCTCGAAACAAAACTTCCGCTCGAGCTTCCCGATTAATTCTCTCCGATTTTTTGTTTCAGTCGTTGCTGCGACAAGAAGAGTTGCGGGAACAGGAACGAAACACCTTCAGACCCTGTGATAATAGACAGGTAAGTTTTTTTTTATTGGCGTTGTTGTTGAAAGAGAAAAACTCGATCACGTCAAAAGTCCATCGCAATTTTCTCAGCCGGAATTGTACACTGCTGATAGGAAGGGGATAGCTACAAAATGGTGTCCCTAGGGAGACGAGATAGACAAGGGGAAGACGACATCTTGTGGGCAGACGGATATCGCGGTGTTGCAAATGGGCGAGTCAAGCTCCCTTAAGATCCTGCAATTCGTTGACTAGACCATAGCATGCGGTCATGCAATATTCCGGTCGACCAGGAACGACCTGTCACTTTCGTTATCACCAACAATTAGTCCAATTGCCTATTAACGAACATCTCCGCTAACGTACGGTCACTCTAATCGAATACGTTTTAAACTAACTACGTTTGCGGCATGTTTCATGATCGTAGAAGACATTGGCGGCGAGGTCTCAAAGGATTCTCTAAGCAATGCATTACAATACGTGAACGTCACACAACTGAACGTCATTTACGGAAAGACATTGCCGGAGAATTTGTTACTGTTTCCTAAACTTTAAACTATCGTTAACTTCCATAAAATCGGGAAAAAAATATTAAGTCTGTGATACCAAATTTAGCGCAAGTAAGCTCTTACAACATAATAAGACGTGCATGTTACCTTCAAATTTTATATGCAACAAAAGTGTATTACCATGAAAGTCTGATGTCTACAAATTTATAGGTCATGAATTTTGCATAATATAGTTCATAAACGATTCGACGTTATGTCATATAATATAAAGCAGATCAAATCAATCTACATTAGGTCTTATATAACGCCTAAAACACGAAAAAAATCAGAGCACAAAATTAAATTATAGTTTGTTTATTACCTCGTCAGTGGCTATACATAAAACTAAATTACCTAAATCAAAACCTTGATAGGCAATATTTTCTATTGATAAAAATATTGTCATGCCGATCTCAGGGCTGGATAACTAGACCCTTTAAGAAAATCAGTTGAAATAGGCCCAGCAAGCCCAATCTTTAATTCTGTTTTACTTCGTCGTGACAATGTATTGACACAAATATTCAAAAAATAAACATGAAAAGGCATGTTCAGCAAAATAAAATCTTCACTGAATACAGTATATGTCTCCGCATTGAGTTTACAAAAGAAAAAAAAATCTTTGATTTTACGCCAAAAGTGCAAAAGAAACACATTTTTTGCTTCACCTGAAACCAGCAAATCTGTAATTAAAATCATCTTCAATAATTGATATGTTTCTTTTATCAATTTAGACTGACGATGCCCGATTTTGCAAATAATATGTCTTAGCTTAGTAACGCTCAACCAAAATTTAAAAACAAAAACAAAAAGATTTCATATCATTTTTAAACAAAATGAATATATAGTAAAATATGTACCTATACAGGGTGCGCCAGAACTCGCGCCCCAGAGAAAATTTTCAAGTAAGGTAAGATACCAGGAACATGAAAAAAATGTTTAAAAAATTTTATCTGTCAAAAAATTTTGACATTTACTTTTTGACATTTGACATTTTTTTTATATCTATTTAATGATTCTGATGATCTTGTATATGTTTTTTTACAATTATTTAGTAAAGGGACAAAAATTTTGCCAATAAAAGCCACAAATAACATTGAACAAAGTTACAATTTAGGACACAGCTTCCTTGTTTCCTCTTTTAATAGCATATAGCAAAAAAACTTGGAAAATTATTTTTCCAACAGAAATAAATAGAGTCAAAGTGCAAACTTTAAACCCTCATAACTTCGAAATTTTTATAGATAAAATTTTTTTAACATTTTTTCCATGTTCCTGGTATCTTAACTTATATGGCATTTTTCTCTGGGGCGCGAGTTGTGGCGTGTATAGGTTGTCGTTTGAAAAAAAAGTATCTTACTTTTTTTAGAATAATTGTAACTAGTGCAGTCTTGACAAATATGTAATATAGCAAAAAATTTACATGTTTGTTTAATGTTAGTTAAAGTATTCTTGGACGCGACACTATTCTAAACACGCTGTAGGTATATTATCAACATTTTTAGGAAATGTAATTTTTCTCGAATTTTTGTCATCTCTTGTATAAGTCAACTTTTTCGGTTTTGTTTATCCATCGGCTTTTATTTCCCGTTTTGTGTCGTTTGAGGTTTTGGGGGTCGCCAACCTAAGACCACTTTCCAACCCAATGATTTCTGTCAATCTAACTAGCCGATTACGTCAGTCACCGAACGGGCTAATCGCAGCAGCAAAACAAGGCGAGCTTTGTCACCGGCCACAGATTAGACGAGAGAAAAAAGTTTGCACTGACTCCCACTGAGCAGGAACAAAATTGGCCCAACGGGATTGCGTTTGATGGTGACACCGCTCCATTGTCCCAAGCACTCGACTCCGGAATTAGCCTTCATTGTGTTACACGCATTAAATTGAATCAAAATTCAATATAAATACATACGTGGGGTGGATGAATTTCATACGAAATGAAATTTTCGCCAATTGCTTGACACAGTCTTGCGCATTGCACGACGAGAAATTAGAGACGAGATGGCTAGTCTCCATTACTGTGATGAGTTTGAATTAGACATTAGGAGCGAAGCGAGGGATGCATGCGAATACAAGTGACAGACGGGTGCACACATGTAACAAAACATATGCACGCGACCGAATTATGCCGCCACGTGCCCACCGCAGACCATTTTGCTTAACACAAATTGCCTCCGGTTATATGATATCGTGAGCGATCAATCCAGAAATTGCCATTATAAGATTTTAATTCGATTGGAACTGAATTGGAAACATAAAGTTGCAATCAGGAATTAAGAGATGCTCCAACCCACTTTCTTTCAAAAATCCTTGTACCTACCTAATAGGGTGGGTCAAAAAAACTCATTTTTTTTTATTTCGAAGTTGTAATAGCGCAGAAAAGTTGCGAATTATATATACAAAAAAAAAGAAATAAAAACATCAAAATCGGTTGACATCTTCCGGTCGCGATAGGCCCTAAAGTTTGACAAAATATGAAAAAAACCTATTGTTTTTTAATTTTTTTTAATTAGATGTTTTCGCAATGTAATAGTTTGTAACATCTTCAAATAGAGCTTAAAAACACTGTATTTTAATTTGGTTTAGATCAATTAATATCTGCCGGTCGCGCATAAGCCCCAAAAATTTGCCAAAATATTGAAGATTTCACATTTTTACGAGTTCTTTAATATACTTTTTTTTAACGTACTAGTTACAGTATTTTTATTCTTGGACATAAGAACATTGTGTTTTAGAAAACATCTAATTACAAATTTAAAAAAATAATAAGTTTTTTTTTTCATATTTTGTCAAACTTTAGGGCCTATGCGCGACCGGAAGACGTCAACCGATATTTTAATAATTTTTTTTTCTTTTTTTTGTCACTTACACGAGAGCTTTTTTTTTCGAAGTAAACTTGGCATTTTAATGAGAATTTTGTTTTCGTCCTACGGACTCGTACTTTTTTCAGAAGCAGTTTTTTTGTTACATTGCCTAAAGAAAACAAAACTCGAATTAAAAATGTCAAGTTTTCCTCGTAAAAAAAAGCTTGAGTGTAATTCGGTAAGACACTTTAATGAATACGTAAATCACTAAATTAACAATTAAGGTGTAAATTAGTTTACTTAAGTTAATGAAAAGTACTACTAGATTCAAACGCTTTGAAAAGTTAGGTTCCGTTTTGTCGCTGTAATAGTTACAGCAAACTTTTGTCGCTGTCATAGTGACCAAAACACCGCGGCTTATAGGATTTTTAGTGTATGAAAAAAATTGTCTATATAATACGCAACTTTTCCGCGCTATTACAACTTCGAAATAAAAAAAATGGGTTTTTTTGGCCCACCCTAGTACCTAATAAGTACATCAAAAACAAAAAATGACACAGTACTTTTAAAAATATTTATTCATTCGGGTTACAAAATATGTACCTATGTTTAGCACATAATTATATAAACTTTACTTGAATTTATTTTGTATTAAATAGCGTAATATCACAATTATATGTATATTATATTGTCGTATTTATTTTAGTGTAAAAATGGCGACAAATATTTATTTTGTTGACAGAGTTTATTATTTGCTTTCAAGTTCCAATAGGAAAAAAATTGGTGTAAATTTGGGATAGGCCTGTGCGATTATCCAATCATCTCGTCTCAATTGTAAATATCCGCTTATGTATCCGGAACGCAAGTATCTGATAAAACTGATTTCCGGTGAGTATCAGGATGCAAGTCTCGCCCAGACGCTTGAAAGCGAGTAATGGATCCGGGCAAGATGATGAATTCGATTGGAAGGCACATGGGGAAACTAACACGGGACAATTGTAACGCATCTTGCTCACAATAAGAGTGGTACCAAATAGGATCTGACAAAGTTTCCATCAAGATTTATTCTTCTTACTCAAAAAAATGAAACATGAGAATGTTTTTAAAACAGCCTATAGTGGTCGCTCAAACTGAATATATATTTCAAAAGTTGTCGACATGTCAACACAGTGATTTCACACTTGACTGTGTCCACATGTGCGGCAGTGTGAAGTGCATTCGGAAATGGCCATCTGAACGAGAGAAACGGCTACGAACGGCCGATTTACGTTCTCAAGTGGGTAACCATGACAACCGGACAAGGACCTTTAGAAATCCCAACAATATTTCCTGCAGGACGTTCTCGGATCTTTCCCTCGAAACGTGCCGGAAATACACGTATCATTCACGACACATGTACATATTACAAAAATTATTTCACTCCCTTTTATTTATATAAGCCCATTACCAAAATTTGCACTTGCTCATTCTGCACTTCGTCTAAAGAAAATATTCTACAATTCTATTAACACGGAAAGAACAAAATTTTTATTTTTTAAATAAACTTTTTTGACATCCTCAGATTTCATGTTTTTATTTTTCGATTTCAATGTTGGCTAAATGAAAGAAAAATTCTGAAGAAGGGGTGAAATCGCGATCTAAACACGCCTTTAGTTCGCTATTGGAAA